TGAAATATTACCAGAGTCCACAAGAGCCAGGAAAAAACAGTGTAGGAGGCTGAAGGTACGTAAGGCAGCTTTAATCGGATTAACTGTACTTGTTCATGTGCATTGTTCCAGTATAGTATCTGGGTTAGGTCATGTCTACAGGATGCTAGATATCACGGCTGAGCTCCTCGGGGTTACTTCATTCATAAAGTTACATGAACCAGTAAGAATTTCATTTTGTGAAAAAACAACAGGTCAAATAATAGATAGATAGATAGATAGATAGATAGATAGATAGACTTCATATAACCATAAAAGTCTTTACTTCTTCCTACTCCCTTTTGAGGATTACATTTGAATTACTCATATAGAGATAATAAATATATTGGGTAATTTTTAAATGTCCATTTATGTCAGTTGTACTGTATTCTTTTGAATATTCACAGCAAACTTGTATATGTGCATGTCACAAGCTGTTCAACAAACTTCACGCTTTTTTCTTTCTGCTCAAAGAGTGAAGAATGCAAAGGAAAAGGACAGAATTTGCATAAAACAGCTACATTCCAGATGTGTCTGTTCAAGTCGACTATTGTAAATACGCTACGCTCCATGCCAACAAGTGAAATATTACCAGAGTCCACAAGAGCCATGAAAAAGCTGTGTAGGAGGTAGAAGCTATGCAAGGCAGCTTCAATTGGATTAGCTGTACTTTTTTTTGTACTTTTGTATGTAGTGAATCCGTGTTGTAATCTTTTTTAAATTAATTGCTTTGATCTTAAAGTAACAATTTAGTGTTGCATCAAAAATATAAATGTGAATGTATGAGATTAAAGACCTTACATCTTACTTTTTATATGCTGTATATGCTGTATTTGCACATAAAAATACAGCATTAAAATATATAAACACTTTTTAGCTTGTAGTACTTCTCAGCATTTATCTGATCAGCTTATAATGAGAAACTTTACTTTTCAAAAAACGACCACAAAACTGAGACTGATTTAGTTTATACTAAAAAAACAGCATCCTTTTACCAACCACTGACAAAACTGAGGTTACAGCAAATGGTTTTTGAGACGAATGAAAAAATAAACAAAACTAAGTGAAACATCAAATATAACATGGGTGGTAAAATGACAAAAATAAAGTATTAATAATTGATAATCATATTAAAAATCTAAAACTTTAACGAGATAACAGTGGATAATAATAATAATGCTAATAATAACGAAAATTGTAAACGCCTGAAGAGAATGGTTCTAGTTCACATATACAAATACCAACATAAATAAATACATAGCGGCGTTCTGTTGGTCGTGGATGTGCCGCCCTCTGCTGGATGCACGTCACTAACACAACTATCAGTTCCTGGAGCTCGGTTTCTACATTCATATAGTAGGCGGGGTCAGCTCCAGTTACCAATAGGTGTGGACCTACGGCGTTACCAGGGAAACGGTTTACGAGGCTGGAAGACGCTAGGAGACGGTGGAAGGCAGCAGCAGATAGGCTAACGGGTATCATGCTAGCACGCTAATGGGATCCCCAGCGATCTTAAATTTTTAAAGCAGTCGTTCACCTTAAATATTAAACGTTACGCTCGGCGGTTGATTTGCGATTACCCTCCCCCCTCCGTCTGCCGGAGTGAGAGCAAGCATGGCAGCAGCGGTGTCCCGCTAGTCGCGTCTCGTTAGCAGCTTAGCACGCTATCTGGCGAGCTAATCAGAATTGTATACCAATCACAGTTTCTCCCTGAGCACCGGTCTCGGCGAGGCCGCTC